AAGCAGTGCCACAATGTTCATCTTCCCTTCTCCCTCCTCCGGGCAGCGTTGGGGTGGAGATGAAGGAGGAAAGCTCTGTCTGCCGCCTGTTGCTCACTTCTGATTGTGCAGGTCTCGTACCAGAGTTCTCCTTCCCTGTACTCTTTTTTTTCCCACCAGGATCCTGGGTTGCTCTCAGTGCAGTAGGAAGCACAGCTGGATGGTTGGTGTGGATTTCTCTCATCCTTGTGCTCTGGAATCAATATGCAGTTGAGGTGGACAAGAATGGCTTCATTTTGGGGGTCAAAAGTCTTTTCTAGGGATAGCCAAAGATAGCTTTTTCAGGCAAATAGGATCCCTTTTCTCTTTCCAAAGAGGATGACCATGAACACTCAGCAGTGCAGGGGTTTATTCCTGCCAAAGGGCTGAGCAGAAGGCATCACAAAGCAGCCACAGCCCTTAAGCAGAGATGTCTGGGCAGGAGATCCTCTGTAGCCCATGATCTGGTGGTCATCTTTCCCTGCCTGGTAGAAGGTTTGCTTTTGGTAGATGTTTAACCCTGTTTGGAGCAGATCCTGCTCCAGTCTCCCATTGCTCTCCACTTTAAAGAGGGAGTGGAGGTAACATCTGAAGATAGGTGAAGGATTTCTCTTTGCTTTGGGACCTGACAAGAGTTAATACCCTGATTACAAAACCAGGGCGAGCTGCTGTTTCCCTCCTCTGTGCTAATCGTGGTAATGTTACTACTTCTCTTTCACAATCTTGCAGTGGAAGAGGGTGGGGAGGGGAAGAGAAGGGGGAGCTTCTTCATCAAGGTTTGGACAATGGTGTATCTTGGCCTCTTCTCGTGGATCGGTGCCATTTCAGCTTCCAGCGTGTCCTCCCCAGCCTTTCGGAGGAAGCTGGCTCGCTTTCCCAGGAGGTTTCCTTCCTTCTCTTGCCGGGATGCTTGGCACCAGCTCAGCAGTTTAGAAAGGATGCATTTGAAACAAAATCTTGATGAAGTTATTCTAGGGAGAAGGAAATGATGCAACGAGGGACTTGTCCATTTGGAGGAAGTTGGATTTCCGTCAAGGGCGTTATCTACCCTACCTTTCTTTTATTTTTTTAATTTATTTTTTTAAATAAAGGCTTTTCTGGCCTGTGCAAGAGAGTGTTCAGCTTTTGAAGGTTGGGGAGAGCAGTTGTAGGTCACCTTCATCTGCCTGGTTTGCTCCTAATACGTTGGCTTCCCTCTGAAATCTTTGACCTAATGTTAGTTTTACAAATTGCCAGGTCTTTCCTAGCAAAGACCTTGAGCAGGATCAAGCCATTAGGCAGATAATGAAGGGAGCAGCAGTGACAGCAGGCCATGAGGAGGGAAAATAAGAGAAAGGAGGTGACAACTGAGTAGAAAGAGATGTTCCCATGTGATAAAGCATTGACTTTCCAGAATATATGCTTGTATTTTACTGTTTACTCTGCTTGTTGCATGGGTGGGATAGATGTGACCGTTTCTGCATCTGAAGTTAGCACCTTTCCCCTTGACATCCAGACTTGAGCTCTGCTCAGGGGATGGAAACAAACGTTTGCCCCAGATTTCTTATTTGTGCAAATGGACTTTCATGGCTGCTCATTTCTGTAGCTGTGTCTTGGCTGCTGGGTAGGGTGGGTGGCCAACAACAACTCTTTTCCACCTTCTTTTTGAGTCAGCTCACGAGCACGATGAGTGCAGCCTCCTCCCGCTTCGCTGGTGTCTCATCAAGTCTGTGATCACGTAAAATGGGACCTTATCAACTTGGGTGACAAAATCGAGCGCAACTTCCTTCTCTCCTGCAGACAGAGCTGCTGCAGAGAGGAGCTGGGCTCTCTGCTCCCTGTGCAGCCTCACCAGACAGGTTTACACAGACTCCTGGTAGGCACAGCCGGTGTGTGGGTGTTGCTGAGAGTAGAGGTTGATGTACGGAGTGACTGTCACTACATGAGAAGGAGAGAAGCTGGTGTGACTATCACATCCCAGACTGAGTTTGCAGAGCTGTAAATGGAGTAAAACAGTCTCAGCTTTGTGACTTGGGTCTGTCTTAGTGAGAGGGTGCAGAGGCAGCAACCAGGGGCTTGAAGCTGCAACAGGACTGTGCTCTGAGATCCCCTTGTCAGAGCAGGGGATGCAGTGGGAGATGGTCGCTGCTTTCCTCCTTTTTTTAACAAAAATATATTTTTTAATTTTTTTTTTGTGGGGTGCAGCCAGGAGAGATCAAGATAGCAAACTTGCAGAGGGGAAGCTCAGCTGCTGTGTAATTTCCACCCCTATAAATGCTGGCCAAGCATGGGGAGCTCTGTCCTGGGGGATCTGATGCATTCCCGGTGACGGGATGCTCTGTGGGGCAGCGCTGGCAGCTTGCAGCCCTGCCACGAGGAGGGTGGGCTCCACAAGCTGGAGAAACAAAGAAACATGTTCCACTTTCTTCCTCTCTTTCATTAGCCAGGCAGAGACTGATTCAATTAGGTGCAAAACAAAATGCCAGGAAAAGGATGTTTGCGATACTGAGCGGCGCTCCCGTTGCAGACCTGCTCGCCTATCTCTCTTGCTGCCTTTTGTTCTGCTTCTTCCACAGATAAAGTGATTCAGAGGCTCTGACATGCTGCTCTGAGAGCGGGAAGTCCCCAGGGTTAGCAGGAGAGAAGCAAGAAGCAGGGTGGTTTGGCAGGAGAGTGGCTTCCCTGAGTTAAATCCTGTGAGCTGGTGACAGTCCTTGGCGCCTGTCGCCTTCAGCTGGCATCTCGAGTGCCGGCTGGGTCTCGGGATCAGGCTTTTTGGAACAAGGAGGTTTTTTTTAAGAAGAGGGTGAACCTGTGAGCTAGCTGGACAAGAGCTGCTTTTGTGCATTGCAAATGGACAGGCTGTTGTCCCGGATCAGTCCTGGTATGGCAGGAGCCAGGTTGTCCCAGGTGAGGTCTCACAGCTGAGCTGATTTGCACCATGGATTTTCTGAAGATAAAATGTGTCCCAGCAGGGCCAGGCTCTCTGCCACACCACTGTGGACATCACGTACTTCTGGTGACTCCCAGTAGCTGTGGGAAGAAAGACGAGGAGCAAGAGCCCACATGATGCTGGGCTGGTGTCCCCTCTGTGCTCAGGAGCTCTCCTCTGAGGTGCAGTGGGTTCCCTTTGTGCTCAGTGATCTCCAGATCCTCCTTTTGACCTTCTTCCCGAGCCTGCCAAAGGGCTGTGCTCCAGCTCACGTGGAGAAGTCAGTCTGGAGCTGCCTCAGCCACTCACCCTCGGGACACTGACTGCCAAAGGTGTCCACAGTGTCCTGTGCCCCTTCCCAAGGAAATGGGCTCATGCACAAGCAAGTGGCTTCCACAACCTGCTGCCCTTGGTGGGCTCTAGATGAGCAACAGGTTAAGGACAACGCACAGATCTCACCATCTCCAGCAGCTCTTTCCTTGTGTCACCTCACTGCCTTGCTCCAGTTTAACCAGTGACCAGCACTACCTATTTTTTTTTCTTCTTTTACCCAAGGCTGATCTCTCACCTCTGTTCCAATCCTCCTGTTGAACCAGGCACCCTTGGTGACCTGTGCTGTGATCTTCAGGCTCTGGAGCTCATTTCTTATTTTCTTCTTGCTTTTTATCCTGTAGATTTGGCTTAAAAATATAGAAAGGCTGGCAGGTTGGCCATCCATATGGGAGACTAACGAGTGTGCAGGAGCGAAGCACGGCTTTCTGGTTGGAAAAATACAGAGTGTGAAATGGCAAATGGCACATTTGGTCTCATGGAGGGTTTTGGAGCAGGTTGAGCAACGTTGCTCATTTAAGCAACTCAAAACTGGTGTTGTTGTGTAAGGGGAAAAAGTGGGTTTTTGAAAAAAAAAAAAAAGAGATAAAATGAAGATCTGCCCTTTGGAGGAAAATAATCTCACTTCTTCAAATGCACCTGTTCTGGCAGCCCTTTGGCACGTCTGTGGGCAGCACTGACCTTGTAATCCTAGATTACTTGGAAAAAGAATAGATACTCTGCTGGGTAGGACTAGGCCCTGAAATGGAGATACCTGATACAAATCCCAGTTCAGCTCTGTCCTTCCAAACCTGGAGCTTCAGCTCCTGAAGGGTCTTTTCCTTTCCCAGCACATCTGCAGGGCACTGTCACCCTCTGTTAGTGGGGAGGAGGGACCTGGAGGCATCTTCTGTGGCTTTTCTGGCAGATATGGACCCTGTTGCCAAAACCAGATTTGCTGCTGATCCAGAGGATGAGACAAATTGGGAGCCAGAAATCTTCATCATGGCTCAGGATGATGGGGGAATGGGGACCAGCAGAGAGGCTCAGGTGGCTGGGTCTGGGCTACCTGTGACCTTCCTGTTGGATGGGAAGGGAAACGATCCTGGGAAGATGCTGTTCTCACCTCTCCTGAGGTTGCTCTTTTGGTGGCATGTTCATACCCAGACATAACATCAAAGCTGTCCAGCCCAGTGAGACCAGTATGTGTGTGGCCTCTGAGTTTGATTCAACTGCTACTCTAGCTACGTCACGTAGACCTTGACATTGATGGCAGAGTGGGGGACTGAATGCAGGGGTCCCAAATTCTGTGCTAAAGCTCTAATCGAGGGGTTCTCCTTGCTGATGGCTTGCTGGATGGGTGCTTTGGTACCACCGTGGTGGTACCACCTGGTAACACTAGGACATGCTGGGTGATGACTCTGCCAAGTGCTTTCCCATGGCTGCTCTGCACTTTGGTTTCCTTGTTGGTGTTGGGACTAATGCCCAGAGCTGGAAGAGCCTGTGAGAGGCTGAGCAGATGAGAGGAGCAGCCTGGGCTCCAGCTGAGGTCTGCAGGCAGCACCCAACCTTCCCACCATCTGTTCCCCAACTTGCAGATTGCACAGAGACCAGCTCATGGAAGATATGACAGAAATCTCTGTTAGATGCTTAGAGGGAGGACCAGAACACAGGACAGAGACGTTGGCAGCCACCTGGCATGTAACTGGGAAGTGTCAGTGAGTGTTTCATGTATGTCAGTGGGAGAGGTGGGTGTTAGCATGGCTGTTTAGTGCCTCTTCCCCCTGAGAAGCTGCTGGGGATGCTCTACTGAGCAAGACTGAAGGTTCTCCTGACAGAGGAGAGGTGTGATGAGTAGAGAGGTTCTGCCAAAACACTGGGGAGCTCAATGTCTATTTTTATTCAAATAAAATGCCCAGCCTGAGATCTCCTCCATAGACCTGTGTGCCCAGTGTTTGTTGGGCTGAAGACCTCAGCACCTGATCACAGCCCCTGAGCTCTGTAGGGATTGAAGATCTCATACAGGAGCTTGGGCTGGCTGGATGCAGCCCTGAAGGCTCAGTTGTGTTTCCTTCACCTTCCCGTGTTGTGTGGAGGGGCTGGTTGCAGAGCAGCTATTGCCTCCTGTGGTTCACTGGCCAAGGAGCCACTGTGGGAGGGAGTCAACGTGTTGGCCAGCTCTGAGGGGCACACAGAGGGGTGAGTGTCTCTATTCCCTCCGCTGTAATGGCCTTAGTCCTAAGCTGGATTGCTCCTGGGACCTGGACATCAGCCTCCCCTTTTGGGAGTGGAGAAGGAACATGGGAATGATGTGCCTACTGCTCCTCGCTCTGTTTTTTCCTCTGTGGGCTGTCGCAGCAACCTTGCAAAGCTGAGGAGTGTCGAAGGCTCATCCAGCTTCACCTTGGAAAGAAGAAACCAGATTTATCACTCCCACTTCTGATCTTTACTCCTGGCTTTGTAACAGCTCAAGGCTGGGTTTGTGCCATAGTCCCAGAGTGGGGACATTCCCTTCTTTCTTCGCAGTCTCATGGATTTTTCTGCTCTCCTGTCCCTTCCCCTTGAATCTGGTGAGTGTTTCAGCCCCTCTGAATAACCTTCTGTCTGTCTGACCCTGCAGGATTGGGAGGTTCTAGTCCTGGAGAAGCTAAAGTGGGACCTGGTCTCGGTGATAGCAAATGATTTCTTGGCTCACATCCTCCATCACCTCCCGCTGCCTAAGGACAAGATGGAGCTGGTGAAGAAACACGCACAGACCTTCATCGCCCTGTGTGCCACAGGTGGGTGCCTGCTCGTGCTGGAGCCACCCATCAGGGTGGGGTGGCCACTGCAGACTGGGTAGCCTGGGCTTGAGTCAGGCTTGCTGGGTCACCTGGGGCTGGTCTCCAACGTCCTGGCTTTTTGGGGAGCTGAATGTCTGGTTTTATTCAAATCAGAGCGTTTTGCTGCTCGATGACATGTTTTCTGTCCCTGACAAAGTGGGATAAGGGTCCTGGGAGCTCTCAGTGGGTGCCTGGAAAGAGCAAAGCCACCGTGTCACCCCTCCTGCTGCGCATGCTGCGGGATGTCCAGGGTGACAGCAGGGTTGAATCTGAGCTTTTATCAGCCTGACTCGAAGTCACCAGAGCACCCTCCTCTTCAGGAGCTCTTTTGGTGAGACAGGCCCAGGGAAATAGGTGAATGAAGCTTGCTGCTCTGATGCTCAGCCTCTTTCCCATTGCTTCATCCCCATTTCTCCTTGCTAAGCTGGAGAAACCCCTCTGTCTGTCCCTCTCTAAGTTTTCCAGGGAGATCTCAGTCCCAAGAACTCACCATGTGTACCCTGGCTAACGGCTTCTTCTTTTTGCCCCTTGTGTCCCTGTCCTGGCTCTAGACTACACTTTTGCCTTGTATCCCCCCTCCATGATCGCGACGGGCAGCATCGGGGCGGCGATCCACGGCCTGACGGTCTCCGTGAACGATTTCACCGGCGAGGCCATCACCGAGCTGCTGGCCAGCATCACCGGCACGGAAGTGGTGAGTGTTCCTGGGGCAGGAGCCGAGCAGTTTTGCTGCTGGATCTGGTGAAAACCTTTCCTCTTTCTGCCACTTGTTCTTAGAGGGAGAGGAAATGAGGCTGTTCATCATGATGCTGACCTTGGTTTGGGGAATGCCTAGAGATGAGTGAGCATCTCTAAATGCAGAACCCTTGGTCAGTCCCGTGGCTGCGGTTGGCTCCTGGCCTCTGAGTGCTGCCTGCACAGAACAGGGTGAGCTCAGGAGTCTTTGAAAAGCAGCACAAAGGGGAACGTCTGTTCCCTGCGTGGGCAGGTGTTGGTGGGATCGGGTTGACAAGGTGGGATGGGGCAGAGGGAGAAGCCGGGCTCGGCATCTGCTCACCTCTACCGGTGTCTGGTTGCAGGTGCCCAGACTCGGGAGGGAAGGGGGTCGGGGGCACAAAGTGTTTCAGGATGCTGGCACAGTGGCTTTGCCAGGGACATTAGGGGTGCCTGTGGGAAAGCTGGGGAGGGACTTTTTATAAGGGCAGTTACTGATAGAACAAGGGGAAATGGCTCTAAACTGGAAGAGGGGAGGTTTAGATGAGATATTAGGAAGAAATTCTTCACTGTGAGGGTGGTGAGACAGTGTCCCAGCTTGGCCAGAGAAGCTGTGGCTGCTCCTCCCTGGAAGAGTTGAAGGCCAGGTTGGATGAGGCTTTGAGCAACCTGGTCTAGTGGAAGGTGTCCCTGCTGCGGGCAGGGGGGTTGGGACTGGATGAGCTTTAAGGTCCCTTCCAAACCAAACCAGTCTGGGATTCTATGATTGGGATGGTGGGGGGCATCTGCCTGCCCCTCCACTGCCCTGTGAATGGGGAAGGGGGACCCTGTTGTGCTCCCCATTTCCAGGCCGTTCCTGAGGTAATCAGGAGCTTTTCTTCTGCCAGGGGCCCCTTTTGATCTTTTCTTCTGCCCGAGCTCATGCCGGCAGCCGGGCGCGGGGTTGGTTACAGTCCCCTGACAGCAGCACTGGGAATTGGAAGAGGTGCCATCACCACAGCGGGTGGGAGGCTGTGACAAGGCTTTGTCCAGGCAGGGAGGGGATGGGGCAGGAGGGGGACCTGATCTATTTATGTGGCTTTTTTTGCTTTTTTTTTTTTGTTATTTGGAGCCTTTTTAAAGAGTGAATCAGTGCAGCCAGCTGCTCTCAAGCTGCTGTGGGGAATGGGGCAGGGGCTGAAACCTGCTCTGGGTTGGGGATGGTGAAGGGAACAGGTGGGAAGCAGGGAGGGAAGCTGAAATGGGACCCGCCACACCTCTGCTCCCCTCCCTCCTCAGCTCAGAGAGGGCATCTGTTCTGCCCCACAGCCTGCCTGGGTGCAAGGTGCTGCACAAACAGCCCCTGCACGGGCAGGACCACAGCAGCTCCTTTAGCAGAAGGAAGCCCTGGGGACACATCCACAGCATTGCAGGGCTCCCAGGGGAAGCACCCTGAAACTTCTCCCTGAACCTGGCCTCGCAGTGTCCCTGAGCTGTGACTCAGTTTCCCCTTTGGCTCCATAAATCCCCTTCCCACAGCTGCTGGGGCTCAGCCAGGCAATGCTGGGGTTGTGCGGATGGATGGAGATGATGGTGCAGGGCTGTGCTGGTCCATGGCTGGCAGGAGCTGTGCCATCACGCTGTGGCTGATGTATTGCTGGCTGTGGCTTGGGGCTTGGAGCCACTCTGGACCAGTCCTCACCCCTCCCAGAGCAGGATCAGACCCACTGGGTGCCCGAGCCAGAGCCCCATGGCACAGGTACGGGGCATACAGGCTGGGGCAAGCCCAGCTGCCTCGCAGGTAGCCCCTGGGGCTTTGCCAGCTGGCAAAGGAACCTGGCTGCGTGTGGCCGAGTGGCTTTTAGCATTTCTGCCCAGATTACCAATGGAAAGGCCAGGGATGAAGCGGCCGTGGCGCGAGGGCTGCAGCGAGCTCACCGCGGGCGGGCTGGAGGCCGCGCTGACGGGAAGCAGCGGGGATGGGGAGGTGGGCGTTGCTATTTTCGCTCACCACATCCTCTGTCAGTTTCTAAGAACCGGTGGTGGATTCCTGGTAAGAGATTTCGATGTGTGACAATATCCAGCGAGTGCGCGCGGCGTCCAGCGCGGCTCCGTCCGTCAGGTGTGAAATGCCACCTCTTACCCTCGGTGAGAGCCCAGGCGCGGTGTAAGGAGCTGGGGTGCACCCATTGGTGATGCCTCGTGGCTCTTGGTGCCTCAGGGTGCTCAGGTGTTGGAGTTGGAGGAGTTTCCTCCTCTGGTTACAGCGTATGGGGGGAAACAGAGGGAGGTTTGTTTTTATTACCAGTGATGTGCTGCTGCTTGCAGCCCCCTGTGCCTTCCTGTTTGTGGGGCTGGTGTCCCCCCCAGCACTGGGTTCCCTGGGCCCTGGGGTGGTGTGGGTGAGTCATACGGGGCTCCTCAGGGTGAGAACAGGAGGGTAAAAACCTTGTGAGAAGCTCTGTGGCCACAGCATCCTTCTTGTCACAACCTGGCATGGATGGTGGGTGATGTTGTAGGGAACACGTGGCTGGAGTGGCTGTTGGGTCTGGGAGGGTCGGGTCCTGCTGCCTTAGTGACCCCCAAAGTGATGGAGCAAGTGTCCCAGCGGGGATTCACCTTCTCCTGGCTTGGATGTGGGCAGGGACATGGGCAGCTTCCCTGCAGAGATCCAGGATTACACCAAGCTCCAGGAGATCTGGGTTGCAGGACCTGGGAGAGGCAGGAGGGACTCCACGTGTGTGCACTCGTGCTGCTGCTGCTGCATACCGGTGGCTGTCGCTGGTGGATCTGGGGAGTTTGGGTTGTAAAGGTTGACCCCAGCCTGTGCAGAGCTGTTCTGCTCTCCCCTCTCGGTCGGCAGCGGCAGCTGATTGTCGTGATGCTGAAATCACACGCTGCATCCAGCCATGAGCCCGGATGCTTTGGGAAGCTCCGATGAGCACAACATCCGTTCCTCAAGAACGTGGTCAAGCAGGGAGGTTTGGGAGAAGACAACCAGAGTGTGGGGCTTCTCCTGGGGAGGGACCTAAAGCACAGACGAGCTGGAGATGCCCCTTGTCAGAGAAAAGCTTCTTTGTCTTGTGTGTTTAGATGCTCCAGGGCCCAGAGCTGTAGCCCAGCAGCTGCTCAGAGCTATTTATAAGGCTCTCACCTCTGAGCAGCGAAGAACTGAGGCCTCTTGTCTCGCTCCCTCTCCCACAGGACTGCCTGAAAGCCTGTCAGGAGCAGATTGAGGCAGCTTTAGCCGAGAGCTTGAAACAAGCATCCCAACCCCAAGGGGAATACAGTGCTGCCAAGACTGCTGCTTACCCGGCCAGCCAGCCGACAGACGTCACGGACGTCAACCTGTGACCAGCCTCCCCTTCCCGAGAGCCACCCGGCCCCACCGCAGCCAGACCTCGCCCTGGACATCAACAGGTCGCTGCATCCCACCTACCCATCCGCCAGCCCCCTCCATCTGCCCCCCGCTGAGGATTTGTCCCGCTCACTCAGGAGTGCAGAGCAGGATCCGCGCTCGTCGGTCGGAGCGAGCGGCCGGGCTGGCAGAACTCGCTGCTGCAGGTGGCCGGGGTGAAGCGACCGTTTTTATGGTTGACAGGGCACAAGAATTGCTGGGGAAGGGGGGGGCAGGACCC